GAGCAGGGAGCCCGATGCGGGGCTCGATCCCAGGACCCTGAGATCATGACCTGAGCCGAAGGCAGACGCTTAACGACTGAGCCACCCAGGCGCCCCCAGAAGAGTACTTTTAACAGCCCCTTCTGCTCTAATAGAATTTAATGATCAGTCTCCCACCTTAGTATAAGGGAATTGTTTCTAGTGTTTTTGCTGTTGGGCCTGTTTCACCTCAAAAAATAAAAATTTTCTTGAGTTTAAAAAAAATAAGGGAAAAACTGATGTTGGTGGGGAGAGAAAGGAAAATACTGACAGAGAGCATGGGAATGGACTCAACCACTTGGGCTTGAAGACATCTAGAGTAAGAAAGCTAGACAGGGTAACAGGAGAAAATAGATACATTATCACTGAAAAACAAAAACAAAACTAAGGCCTAAAAACAAGAGATGGGGTAGAAGCCCAGACAATGTAAGAGATACACAGCTAGGAAACAGAGATGTGTGGAGGCAGAAATGCAGGTGGGACGGTGAGAAGTGGACAGAGGAGGTGTAACAAGATGGCGGAAAGCAGAACAAGACAGTGTGGTTCCCAGGGGCAGCATGGACCAGGTGGCTTGCTTTCCCATCCTGGTGGGCATGGACATGCTGAGGTCTGCTCCCATCACCCTCCATGATCTATCATGTCCTTGTTTCTCTGCAGTGACCTGTGATCCCAGAGTTTCCCCAATGACTAATGAAGGAGAACTAGAGGAGTTGCCCAGCCTACCAGCAGAAGAGGGACAAGGTAATTCTGATTTAAATTCCCAACTCCCTCAATAAACCTTTGTTTTCTGATCAGCATGGAAAAAAATCTTGCCTTTCTCCCATCCTACCATTCTATTCTTCATATTCACATACATACAGGTGAGACTGTGTCCATTTTCTGTTTTGCTTTTTTTCAAAAACTGTAAGAGAGACTAAGAATAATGGTGAGCAGAGCTCCTGAGTGTAGACGGTATCCATGCCTGGAGAACATAGGGAGACATATAGCAAAGGTAGGCTGGGGCACCAGAGCAGAAGGGCCTGGGTGATTTTATTAAATGCCAATAAAAACCCAAGTACCAACAGGTTATGGCAATTGAGGCAACAAGATCATTTTCAGCCTACTTCCGGAAGTACCAGCAATATGGGAATAAGTTTTGTGAATGATTGATAGGCTTGCAACTTTAGAAGGTCCCTCGGGAGATTGTTAGCATACAGCTGATAAGGGAAGGCTGTCTGGTGCTGTGGTCCATGCAAAAAGGAAAGAACTTCTGTCAGTTTGAGAGGAAGCATCTGTGAGAATGAGGAAAATAGATAAAATAAGGGAAATTTTAAGGCATTCAGAGGAAAGACTCAGAGAAACAGAGATAGAAAAGGAGAAAGTGAGAGACAACCTGGAAAGGGTATAAGCTCACGAAGAAATGAGATATGGAGATGAAAATTAGAGAGATTATGTAATAATTTGGCAAATAAATATCAAAATAATAATAATGTGGAAGTAAGCACAAAGGAAACTATGTAGAGAAAGAGTTATATCAAAATAATTTAAAAATCAATAAGGAGTGGAAACTGGGGAAGGAAGAAGTTGGGATCTTGTAAAGCTAAAGTGCGAGTCTAGACAGGAGCATCTTCCGGCAAAAAGTGTCTATCTCAGTAGTGAGTTTTTATATTTAATCTCCCCAGGTAGAGAGTGGTACATGGAACATACTCAGAGACTAATAACCCTCTCCCTGGCAGTCTCAGTTCTCCAGTAACAGAATGAGTCTCAAGTGCCTGCCTGCTAGGGACACCTGTCTCCCAAGATCATCCCTCTGTGTACCTGAAGGCATTTATCACAGGATCCTCTCCATTTAGATGACTTTCAGGAACTGACACTTCCAAAGTTGAAACTAACAGCTTCTTCTGTGAAACTAGAAATTCCTTCTCCAGAGTTTGCTCCCTCATTAAAGAGAACATGAATGTACCATTTCCTCTTGTTTCCATTCTACCCATTTTCTCCACTTTAGCATGATTGTTATTTGCAAGATATCAATCAGATCATATTATTTTCCCACATAAACCTGTGATTTTTGTTGCCTTAGGATTAAATCAGTTGTCCTTCCTGTGGTCTTCTGTGTCTCCCATTCACCATGGGGTACCAGTCTATTGCTTCTGCCTCATCTCTCATGAGAGTGTAAATATTTTCAGTGATTGCACTGCTCTGATCTTTCTTTTATATGTGGGCCTTAGAACAATTTTCCCTGTGTTTGGTGGTGTTGCTTTGACCTAGTCTGCTCCTTATCCCATCTCCTGATCAGGTTCTACAGTACTATTTTAGGGATACCTCTCCTAACATAGAAGAAAGGGAGCAAGAAAAAACTGAGTGAGATAGGGAAAGGCAATAAAGACACTAAAGAGTGTCAGAGGTGCAAGAGAGAAAGAGAAGAAAAGGAGACAGAAACACATCCAAACAAAGAGAAGCACCTAGGGACACTGGCAGCAAGAGATAAGGGCAGAGACAGAAGTAATGAGCAGGGGCAATGAGAAAGGGGAAGAAGTAGAGAGAGAATTAGGTGTACATGAGGGGAGGAAGATGGTGGATGGTCCTCAGGCTCTGGTGATGGCAACAGGAGTGAGTCAACCTGCAGGCCAGGTGAGCCCAGAGATTGACCAGATGGTTTGGGACAGGGACAGTCCCACCTAGCAGATACCTGAGTGTCCCATGTCCTCACTATGAGTTTTCCCACCATGATCTCCCCTGATTGTGTACTGAGATGACTGGGGCATTTCATTCCTTTCTGCAGAGCACAGCAATGCCTACTGGGAGACCAGTGATGAAGAAGAGCCTCAGGAAGCCTTGAGCTCCCCACCAACATGTGGGCGAGGTAAGGAAGGGATTGCCAGCCCTGGGCTGCAGGATATCAGGCAGCTGAATTCAGAGCTGAACAGCATGGCCCTTATTGTTAGAACAGATGTATTCCCTCTTCATGTTGTGGTAGATAAATACTGGCAAAGACAGTGTCTTTTTTCTTTCACATTCTTTATGTCTATTTATAGGAAGGACTCAGTATTGTGATTTTAACCTCTGCCTACTTCTTATTTTCTATAAAGAATAAAAGTTAAGTATGTATCTAGTGCTTAATATTATTATTATATTGTCATAACCTTGGGTGGGCTTCAAACAAAACATGGTTCTGTGATCTATTTGTCAGAAGGAAAGATCAAGGGTTTTGAGCCCAAATTATAGTTTTTGTCACATTTTTGTCATCAGGTTATTGGATTATTTTGTGCTTTTTTTCTTTTCAAAGTACTTTGGTAAGTGAGATTTCCTCATAAATCTTTAGGACTTAGCTAGGGAAACTGCTGTTATTCCTCCTTAAAGAAAGACATAGAAGCACAGATGAAGGATACTTGTTTTTCCCTAAGATCAAGTAGGAGGAAGATCAGAGACCCATGCCCTGAGCATCTCATTGCAGATAGTGGCTGTGTGAGGCTAGCAGGGGTCAACGTGGTCACATGTAAGAAGAGTCCAAGGGGAGATCTGTGGCTTCCAGAAGGAGCAGAACAGGGCCTAAAGCAGAGAAACTTCCACTTAGCAGATAAAGAAGGCCAGTAGGAAGGGGAAGAAATCAAGAGAGACAGTGACAGAAGGAATGGACCCTGTTTTAGGGATTGGAGAGATCTGGAAGAACAGAGCTAGGAGGAATAAGCAGGAAAGAAAAGATTAATATCACCATTGAGGGAAAAAAAATAGAAAAGTAAAGAGATGGGAGAAGTCAGGGGAGTGGAGCCCACAAAATCAAGGATGCACAAATATTCTCCTAGTGCAGATGAGGAAATGTCTGGAGACAGATCTATGGGAAGGAAATGGAGAAGCAGAGTAGGAGAGTCAGGGGCAGGAGGGCTCGGTTGGATCTCAGGTGGGGTCCTTGGACCAGATGTCCCTTTTCCCAAAGGGCAGCTCACCTGTGCTCTGAACATCCTGGCTCAGCTCATTTCCTTATTTCCCTTCAGGGTCCTGTGATCCTGAAGCTCCCCAAATGATCAGTGAAGAAGAACCAGAGGAGGTGCTCAAGCAACTGCTATGTGATGGGGAAGGTAAGTATGATTTCAGTTCCCATTTCACTAACCAAATCTTTTTTTTCTGTCTACAAGGAGGAAAATTTCCCCTCTCTTCTCCCCTTCTCCACTGCTCCCCTTCACTTATACATACAGAAGAAATGTGTGAAGCCAAGTGAAAAGGATCAAAAAGAGAGAGAATTAGTGTATGGGAAGGGAGGGAGGTAGGTGGACCATTCTCAGCCTCTGGTGATAGTGACACGAGCCATGTTAACTCCCAGGTCAGGTGAACTCTAAGGCAGGAGGGTCTGAGGGCAGGGACATTCCCACCTGGAAGATACCTGAGCCACCTTGGTTATTAGGGTGGGTTTCCTGCTATGGTTTCTATTGGTCATATGCTGGATCCACTAAGGGATTTTATTCTGTTCAGCAGAAGGTAGCAGTGCCTGTTTAGAAATGCGTGATGAAGAAGAACCCCAGGAAGACTTGAGCTTGCCACCAGAAAGTGGATCAGGTAAGGGAGGACAAGTGGCAGGATTTCCTTCTTTTTTTGAATGGATGAATAGTATTCCATTTTGTGTGTATATATATCTGTCTACCACATTTTCTTTATCCATTCATCTGTTGATGGACACTTAGGTTGTTTCCATGTCTTGGCCATTGTAAGCAATGCTGAAATGAACATGGGGGCACAGATATCTCCTTGACATACTTATTTTGTTTCCATTGGATATATACCCAGAAGTGGAATGGCTGGATGATATGACGGTTCTAATTTTTAGTTTTTTGAGAAACCCTCATACTGTTCTTCATAATGGCTATACCACATTACAATCCTACCAACAGTGCACCAAGGTTTCCTTTTTTCCACATCCTCACCGGCACTGGTTATCTCTCATGTTGATAGCCTCTTTTTCTTAACATCAACTCTGCCTAAAAATGGAGGTAATATCTCATGATATTTGCAGTCCCTGGGGTCAGGAAAGGAAATCTTGAGTGGACATTGAGAATTCTGCCTACTACAATGAGACTTAAGTATATTTCTAGAAAATAACAGTCCAGACAAGCCATTGACTTTCCCAAGTAAATAATATAAGCTATTCTTATCAAATGGGACATTAAACAAAGCTGAGCATAAATATATTAAAGAAAAGAATCTGGCTTTAGAAAAGAGTTATAGTAATTGGGTTAGGCACTACAGAGAAGTGAGATATACCTACTTTGTTGATTGCCTGCAGATCTTGAATCATGCATAGTGTAGACATACTAATGTTCAGATCAGTTATAAATTGATTATGTGTAGGAGAATTTTCCAAGAATTCTAAAGTTATTCTTCCTTTAGTACATTTAATCTGGTAGTTTTTTTTTAAGATTTTATTTATTTATTGGAGAGAAAGAGAGAGCACAGGAGCAGGGGTCAAGGGCAGAGGGAGAGGGAGAAGCAGACTCACCGCTGAGCAGGGAGCATGACGTGGGGCTTGATCCCAGGACCCAGAGATCATGACCTGAACAAAAGGCAGATGCTTAACCGACTTAGCCACCCAGGGGCCCCTTAATCTGGTAGTTTCATTTACAGAATAAGTCCTTCCTATTAGGTTTATAGGGACTTTTTAAAAGAAAAGAAACTGTTAGATGATGGTCTGAAAGTAGCAGTTACTGGTTGGGACATGGGAACTTTTGGTCATCTTTCTCTCTCTTTCAGAAATACTATCAAAAGCACTGTTTACTTTTGACATGTCCAGAGTTCCCCTTTGAAACCCAAAGTTACCTTTGATGAAATTTTGCCATTTATTAAAATAAGTGCAAGAATGATTCTGAGAGTACAAAGAGGAAGTGGAGTTCTGTCAGTGGGAGATTGTAGCTTTGGCCAAGACACAACCATGACAAATAGCAATGAGGCCACCACATGCAGTCCTTGGTGTGAATGGTGTCCTGCAAGTGAATGGAGTAATGGGTTCATCCACCGAGCAGAGACTACAATGGGAACATATGATTGATTACATGATAGTAGTTGACCTCAGATTATATGCTAAGCAAAATGATTTTGTTTCACAAATTGACAAGAGGTTTTGGTGAGAGATTCAAGACCAAGGGTGACCAAATATCTTTGCACAAGTTAGCTACTATTTAATGGACCCACATCCATTAATTAGTTTTGGATAGGGGACTTATCAGGGTTATGCCTCCATTTAACCATTTAACCCTCCAGGGTTATTTGCTTTGGATCACTTTCTTCTAACATTCAAGAAGCACAAGAAATCAGGAGCAATCAAACACATAAGACAAAACTTTTGAAAAATAGACAAAAGTACGAGCAAATGAAAGAGTAGAAGAATAAAAAATATTACAGAGTATTTGTTAAATGCTGCACCTCCAAACCAAAATGTCTAACTACTTTGTGTCTAATTGCATATACATCTTTAAGTAATAAGATTAATTCAGAAATAAGAACTCAGTGAAACAAGTCAGAGTTCAAGTCATTGTTGAGATGGATTGATCAGGAAGACAATCTGAGTTGGGCAAAAGAGGCAGTGGATTTATACCTATTGGCCCAAGGATCCCACAAGACATTGCTAAACAAGAGTCTTCAAGATGGGTTGGTGGGAAATCCATTTTTGGAGGGATAGACATCATGCCATCTCTGAAGCTAAAGGAAGGATTTATTGCGTGCTAAGCAAGGTGCATGGTGGAAGGAGGTATGGTATTTACAGGACATAGTTCTTTTAAAAAGGAAATTGCTTTTAGGTAGAGTTTTAGGAAGCTTGTAGTTCAGGAACTGCAGACTTTCAGACCTGGGGACTGTTTATAACTAGGTTATCATTTAGTAATAGACATAGGCTTTCTGGAGTGTGGCTGATTGGCTGATTTTCAGAAGTGTAAGGCTGTCACTGATTGGCTGGCTTTAAATGTGGTTAGTGATGTAAGTAGTGATGGGCCAACTGGGATGAGTTTAAAAACCGTTCTGGTAATTACTTTTTACAATTTTCAAAGAACGGTTGGTTTTCCCTGGAAGGATAAGATCTTTTTACTTTATTCTTAGGGCTACAGGTAGAAAAGTAGGAGTAAAGAAAGCAGAATGAGGTACAAAAGATGGGGAAAGCATGGCTTTGGCAGCTCTAGGTTGTGATTATTAGAGCAGGTGTAGTCTTCTCCCAGAAGGCAGTTCATTTTAGCTCAGAATATCAGGGTGCAGCATAAGAGCACCAGAAATTCTTCCCTCATCACTCTCAGGATCCATGGACTGTAATTTTCTTGCTTCTCTTTAGTATCTGGCAAAGTAGAAACTCTCCAAATGAATAGAGAGGAAGAATCAGAAGAGCTTATTTCCAGCCTACTAACCTATGATGGACAAGGTAATTATGACTTAAAGAATAATAAAAAACAGAAACAGAGGCTGATAAAGAGAAACAGACAAGGGAGGAAAAAGGGAGACTTAAAGGAAAGGCCAAAGATGGAGAGGGTCAATGGAAGATTTCAGAGGAAGAAGCAGAGAAGAGGAGATCAAGAAGGGTACAGAAAGGGGGATCCCTGGGGTAAACGAAAGTCTTCATACATCACAATTTTGGCCCAGGCGCTGAGCTACCAGCATATGGAAATCAGAAGTGTTCCTGTGTTATGTGCTCCTCAAAAGATGTGCCAGAAGGTCCAGAAGCAAGTACTGCAAGTAGCCAAGCACGTGACACGATGGGTAAGGCTACTGGAGGGTCGAGGGATGGGGGTGACTCTAGCGGCAGGGTGGTGGCAGGTGATCTGGTCCATCCCAGTATCCTGTTCCCTGCTTTGCTTGACCTGACCCTTTTGGGAATAGTAGAGAGGCAAGAGATCATTATAAAGTTGCGTTTAACAGGATGGGCCCTGCTGATTATACATGAGTGATGTAGTAGAAATACGCTCTTAAAGATGGCAGTATCTTGTTTACTACATTAGTCTACTAATAAAGATGGCAGTATCGTGTTTACTACATTAGTCTACTACTAATAAAGTCTTGTATTTATACAGTGATTTCCATCCCTGTCACACCCAATCTTCTGTGGAGCCCGAGAAAGCCAAGCATACTTCTGCTAGTAGATAACAGTGTCATTTTGTCACAACCTTAGAAAAATCTCAAAAGACAACTAGTGATGCCACTTACTTGTCAGGAGGAAAGACTATTCTTAACCTAGCACATATTTTTGATGGATGCCCTCTAGCGTGTTGCTGGTTTATCTAATGATTTCCTGTAAATGTTTGCCTGTAAGATTTTATTTAATCCTCACAAAAAATCTTAAGACCTAGACAAATATCCCTGAGTAAACTGAAGTACACAGGTATTTCAGTGTTTTTCCAAGTACTGTTGAGAAACAAAGGAAGACCCAGAGCCCATCCTGGACTCCTACTTCTCAATTCAGTAGGTTTTTAGTCCCTTTAGAAAGAAGAGAGAAATGATAACCCAAACAGCTTTACAAATTCAAGTCTTCTGCAGTATGAATAATCCTAAAATTTGTAACTTTTATTTATTAATTTCTGTTTCCTCACCCTCACCTGTTATTCTCCAGATACTGTGGATCTTGGAAACAACTCTTCTTCAGGAAAACTCAAGAGGAAGAGAAGTAAGAGTGCCTAAGATTTTGCTTGCTTTCGATGTTAAAAATGAGGTTTTCAATGCTAGAGTTGCATTATTACTATTTACAATAGTAAGTGATAATAATATGATGTCTGCCCAAAGATATCCATATCTTAATCTCTGGAATTTGTATTATCTATTATCTTACATAGCAAAAGAGATTTTACAGATGTAATTAAGGTAGGGACCTTGGAAGAGGATATTATTCTGGATTATCTGGGTACACTCAATATAATGGAATGGCTGTTCTTGTCTGTGGAGAGAGGGGGATGGCCATGGACGATAGTCACAGAGAGATACCATATTGCTGACTGGAGGAGGAGGAAGATGGAGGGAAGGAACCAGGAATATGGATGACCTCTGGAAACTGGGAAAATCAAGGAAATGTATTCTACTGTACAGCCTCCAGGAAGGAATGAAGGCCTACTGACCCTTGTCAGACTTCTAATCAACATAACTGTGAGATAATAAATTTATGTTGTTTTAAGCCACTAAATTTGTAGTCATTTGTTATGGCAGCAATAGAAGAGTAATCCAGACTTTGGTTATTGGAGGTGTTGTGCTGCTGTAGCGCATTCCTAAAAATGTGGAAATGGCTTTGGAATTGGACAGTGGGCAGAGGGTAGTATTTTATGTGGAATGATAGAAAATGTCTAGATTGCCTTGAGCAGTTTGTTAGAAATATGGGGCTGAAGACTCTGCTAGAGAAAGCTTGGACGTGCAGAACATGGTAGAGAAAGCCTATTTTGTCTTAGAGGACATGCAAATCATCATGAAGACTTGGTAGAAATATGGAAGTTCAAGGTGTCACTGGTGAAGGCTCTGAAGGAAACAAGGAACGTGTTTCTGGAAACTAGAGAAAAGGAGATCCTTAGCATATAGTGTCAGAAAGCTTAGCAAAATTCTGTCCCCCTGATAATGTGGAAGGCCGAACTTTCTGGATAAATAGCTAAGGAGGTTTCTAAGCAAAGTGATAAAGGTGCAACTGGTTTCATTTTGCTGCTCATAGTAAAATGTAAGGGGAAAGAGGTAAATTGAAGGAAGAACTGCTTAGCAAAAGGAATCTGGACTTGATGATTTGAAAAATTCTCAGCCTTTCCAAGCTGCAAAAGGTGCTAAAATTTGGAGCTTCACTGTTGGGAAAAGTGTGGTCTATAGTGATAACCAAGAGTATGGCCCTCCAACTTTCTGCTAATGCGCCAGTAGTAGTGAACAGTCAGAGTATTCAGTCACAAGGAAAAGGTTCTTTGAAGGGATTAAGTATGTGACTCACAGATCCCCTCGGCCATGTCAGCAAAAGTAAAAAATAGATACATGATTGTATAGGAAAGATCTGTGGAAGAGTCTGTCTAATGGAGGAGATCCCCATGACATACACGAGAGTGCTATGATCCCTAAGGATCTTCTATCAACAGAAACAGGGACATCCATGTCCTGATTTCTGGAACCTGGAACCCATTACTTCACATGGCAAGAGACTTTGAGGGTGTGATTAAGCTAAGAATCTTGAGATGGAGAGATTGTCCTGGATAATGTGGGTGGCCCCAATTAAGTCACATGGGTCCTTAAAATCAGAAACCCTTTCCTGCTGTGGAGAAAGGGATATGTGATGATGGGATAATGATCAGAGCAATGCAGTGTAGCTGGTTTGAAGATGAAGGCAGGGGGCAGTGAGCCAAGAATTGTGGGCAGCATTCAGAAGTTGGAGAAAGTAAAGAAATGGATTATCCCCTATAGCCTCCAGTAAGGAACAAAGCCCTGTAGACACCTTGATTTTAGCCCTATGAGACTTGTCTCAGATTTCTGACCTTCAGAACTATAAAATAATGAATTTGCTTTGTTTTAAGCCACAAAGTTTATGGCAATTTATTACACCAGCAATAGAGAACTAACACTTTTCATAAGACCAAAAAAATTAAAAAAGGAATATTTCACCTTTATATGGTTAGATTATATCTTTTAAAATAGTAATTGACATATTTTTCAAAATGCTCCCATCTTTATTTTGTTTATTTATTTTTACATATATGATCTTTGTTGGGACGCCTGGGTGGTGCAATCGGTTGAGCATTGGACTCTTGGTTTTGGCTGGGGTAGTAATCTTGGGGTTGTGGGATCAAGCTCTAGGTCGGGCTCCACGCTTAGCTCAGGGTCTGCTTGGGTTTCTCTCTCCCTCTCCCTCTGCCCCTCCCCTAACGTGCATGTGCAAGTGTGCTCGTACTCTCTTTCTCAAATAATAAATTAATCTTTAAATATTAAAAAAATATATGATCGGGGTGCCTGGGTGGCTCAGATGGTTAAGCATCTGCCTTCGGCTCAGGTCATGATCTCAGGGTCCTGGGATCGAGCCCTGCATTGGACTCCCTGCACGGCAGGGCGCCTGCTTCTCCCTCTCCCTCTGCTCCCTGCTTGTGCTCTCTCGCTCTCTCTGTCAAATAAATAAATAAAATCTTTAAAATATATATATATATATGATCTTTGTAAACTTTAATGTATATCTTTACAGATTTTTTCTATGCATGTATTTTGTATTTTTTTATTATTATGTTATGTAAATCACCATACATTACATCATTATGCATATATTAACACATTTAGAATTTTATCATAAATCTAAATAAATCTATTCATACTGTCAGATTTTCTTTAAGTCAGTATTTCATGCACAAGACACTACAAACATTTAACACTTTACCTGTAAAAATTTTTATTTCATTCCTGTTTTAATTGGCATTGCTTTCATTTTTGTTGTGGTTGAGCATTTTTCAGTTATTATTGGTCATTTTTTTTCTCCTAAAAATGCCTGGTACATGTGCCTTGCTAGTGATACAATCCTGCTGGCCTTTTCTTTTTTTTTTTTTAACCATGCTGAACAAGCATAGGACTATATATATATATTACATTTTGTCGATCTATGTTATTATTTAGTTTTGTTTGATGCTATTCTTTTTGGTTTGTATTATCTTTTGTTCTAAGGAAGTTGGAAAATTTTATGTAGTAAACCCTGTCAGGCTTTTTCTTTATGTTTTCTAGGTTATACTTAAAACTTACAAAGATATTTCCCACCTCAAAATTTTAAAAATATTTATATCTGCTTCCAGAATACCTGAAGTACTTAATGCTTTTTAATGTTTAAATCTATAATAATTCACCTTTATGTGTTTGATGTGAGACAATAATTTCAAGAAATAACCCCAATGCTTTTTTCTTCATGACTTAAAATGCCCTTTTTATGTGCCTTTCCTTGTATTTGTGGATCTCTGGGTGCACTCTACTCTGAAACATTCATCTGTTTATTTCTAATGCATAGCAAATTGGTTTAATTACAAAGCTCTCAAGTATATTTTGCTATTCCTACTCATTATATTTTCTTTTGCAAGGAAAAAGTAAAAAGTGCAGGGAGGAGCATCAGAAAAGAGATGTCAAAAGTTCAGTAATCCTGGCTTGCTCAGTGTGGATGAGTCTTAAAATCAGTCAAGATTTCCCCCCAATCCCTCCCCAATTCTGTTGGGACCCTGATTGAAAATACATTGAACTTGCAGATTAATTTGAGTAGAATTGAAGGAGAATGAATCACACATTTATTCAGATCATGTTCTATGTTCTTCAAAGTTTTAGTTTTCTTTCTGTAGATCTTGCACATTTTTACTTTTCTTATCAGCTTTATTGAGATATAATTTCATACAATAGCAGTCATCACTGTTAAGGGATGGTTAGATAAGTTTTAACAAATGTGTTCTGTCATGTAATGCCACCACGATCATCACATGTAACATTTCCATCATCCAGTGGACCTGTGTCCCTTTTCCCACCCTCTGGCTCTTGACAACAGCTGATCTGTTTTTATCACTTTAGTTTTATCTTTTCTGGAATTTCATATAAATGAATTCATACAGTATACAGACAGTATACAGTTTTTCAATATGTGGCTCTTCCATTTAGCATGAAGCTTTTGAGACACATCCATGCTGGTATGTGTATCCTTAGTTACTCCATCTTTACCTCTGAGAAGTATTTCATTATATGAATACTCCACAGATCTACTCGCCTGTTGATAGATGTTGAGTTGTTTCCAGTTTTTGGCTATTGCAAATAAAGCTTCTAGGAACATGCGCATACAAATCTTTAGGTGGACATGTGATTTAATTTTTCTTAGGTAAATACATAGGAGTGATACTACTGGGTCATATGAACATAAGTACATGTTCAACATTTTAAGGATCTGCTAAAGTATTTTTTATGTTGTTGTACCTTTTTATATTCCCATCAGCAATGTATGAAAGTTCCCATTACTCCATATATTTACCAACACTTGGTATTGCTAATCTTAATTTTAGCTATCCTCATAGGTGTGTAATGGTAATTCATAGTTTTAATTTGCATTTTCTTAATGAGTAATGGTGCTGAACATCTTTTTATGTATTTGGTTGCCACACATAGATCTCATTTAGTGAAGTGTCTATTCAAATCTTTTATCCATATTTATCTGGGTTGTTTATTTTCTAGTTGTAAAGTTATTAATATATTCTGGATACAAGTCCTTTGTTTGTTATATACCATACAATCTGTAGCTTCTCTGTTCATTTTCTTAGCAGCGTCAAAGAGCAAAATTTATTTTGAAGTCTAACGGTATTTTTTATAATCTGTGACTTTTTAGTTCTATTTAAGAAATCTTTGCTCAAGATACCATATTTTCTTCAAGAACTTTGATGGTTTTTAGCTCTTACATTTAGATCTGTGATCCAGTTTGAGTTAATTTTTGCATATGGTATGAGGTAAGGATTCTTTCTTTCTTTCTTTCTTTCTTTCTTTCTTTCTTTCTTCCTTTCTCTCTTTTTCTTTCTTTCTTCCTTCCTTCCTTCCTTTCTTTCTTTCTTTCTTTCTTTCTTTCTTTCTTTCTTTCTTTCTTTCTTTCTTTTGGCATTCAGATATCCAGTGGTTCCAGACCATTTTTGCATTGAATTAATGAGTTAATTACCTTGACATCCTTGTTTTAAGTCAGTTGCCCATACGTGTTTAGGTGTATTTTTGGACTTTCTTTTCTACTTAACTGTATGTCTTATCTTTATGCCAATACTATACCATCTCAATTACAATAGCTTTATAATAAGTGCTAAAATCTGGTAGTTTAAGACCTCTCATTTTGTTTTTCCTTTTCAAATTTGTTTGGACTACTTTAAGCCCTTCACTTTGGAGCTTCTTCTGTCTTTCAATTCAGTCACTGTCAAGATCATGTCATTATCCGGGGGTACCTGCGTGGCTCAGTCAGTTAAGCGTCTGCCTGCGGCTCAGGTCATGATCTCAGAGTACTGGGATCGAACACTAACCCCATATCGGGCTCCCTGCTTAGCGGGGAGTCTGCTTGTTCCTCTCCCTCTGCCCCTCCCCCAACTCTCCCTCTCTCTCTCTCAAATAAATAAATAAATAAATCTTTAAAAATAAAAAAAAAGATCATGCCATTGTCCAAAGTGCTTCCTGAGCTCCAGCTGTG